ATGAATAGGAGTTAAATGTTCTTACCTAACATATGTACATATATAATTGTATTTTTTCAAAATGGCTATAGCTATTATGTCTTTGTTTCTGTGAGGGCTATTTAATTTTGGATGAATACATTATATATCTGAATTTTGTTTCTAAAGTCTACTGCTTTCTACAAAGTAGTTACACATATTAGAGTATCTTTCAGTTAATAATATTTACTAACACATACTCATGTATTAGATCCCATGTACTCTTTAAAAAATTCTAGGCTAATGAACCTTTCTTTTTTTTTTTTTTTCCCTCTGAATCTCTTGCTGTGGACACAAGTTCTGGGTTCATTTATCTTTGCAGGTTGACTTCAAAGTAGCCCACAGGTAATCAGTTCTGTTTCCTTTTACAGTTTGTCTTGCTTCCCTACTCCACCACAGATCTTGTCATGTTTCCACTTTCAGAGCCCCTTTTGCATCACTTTCCAGCTGAGGAAGGCTTGAATTGGGTGGGATTCTACTGTGCCCTGACTGCTATTTCTCTACAGTACAGGTGCAGACACTTCTCTGTAGCTCATTAGCAAATACCTAAAACTCTGGTCCTGTGTGTGCAGGGTGTCCTCTTTCTTGACTTGAAGTTCAATGACAATGAGGTGGGGTTTGCCAGAGGCCAGCAGTACAGCTAATCCTGACAGAACATCTGATTGTCTTTAGCTGAGACACGACAGACTTTTAGGGGTGCCTTCCACAGAAACAAACAGTGATGTTGTTATTAACATCAGGCCTATGGAACACAGAGCCAAGCCTAGAGCTCATTCTGGAGTAGATTATAGAAGAAAAAAAACCCAAAACAACACACAGAAAACTAAACAAAACCCACAACTCCCCAAACCATTGTCTTTGCTATCCTTTTGTTTGTCTCAAAATGTGAGTAGGCTGCTTTTGTACTTTGAAATATATTATCACATAATATTCTGTGCATTCTTTTTCTCTTTTAAATAGGTAACTTCTCTATAAATTTTTCTCTAGCTATTATTTTCTTTTTTTCTAATTATTGTAATTGCCCAAATACAGAACAAGCCTGCACAGCAGGCAGCCACTTGCCTTCCCATGCTCCAGCCTTACCTCCTCACTTCCCAAGTCTGATCTGCTTTAGTCTGTTTTGCATTTCTGAGTGGGTGGAAGCCAGGTCCAGTTTAGCTGAACAATTCCAGATTCTCTGCAGACAGCAGGGAGCTGCTGCCATGCCCAGGAAAAACACATGAGCAGCTGCTCAGAGGCACCTCCACCTTTGGAGGTGCTCTCCTGTTGTTTTCAACAAATCCACTGTCACCCAAAAACTGCCACTCCTAGAGGTGCAGACCAGATACTGAGAATTCCTAAATTGAATTGGAGTATTTGGTTAAATTTGAGGCACCCAGTCTGAGGCCTGAATGTTAAGTCACATTCATGCATAGAGGGTTTTCTTCCTAAGCTAAATTGCCTGAAAAGCCTTCTTGTACACAGGAACATGGATATACTTCAATAAAAATAAGTGTCAGAGATCACAGGGTGAAGTGAAAGCTTGCTAAGGCATTTCAGGCTGCCTGCATAGTAAAGGAATGCATGTATGCTTTTCCTGTTAGAAAAGAAGCCAACAGCATGTAAATCCAGCACTACTTCTTGCTTGCCTTAAATCAATGGACTTCTGGTGCTTTTCCTTAGAATGGACAAACATGCCAGGAAAAATCTGTTTCCAAGCTGAGAGCCCTTTCTCAGAACTGCCCGTAAGTACCAGGCAGGATGGAAAACTGGGCTGCCAGGCTGCAGAGGTGCTCAAGGGAGGAGTTTGCCAGCAAGAGAATTGCAGAGTTTGAAGCACAGAAAGACCTTCAGTTTTCCCAGAGTTCTTACTAAAAATTTCTAATTCATACAATGAGAAAAGTAATATCCTAAACCAAGCAATCTAATCATCTTCTCTCTCCTCCTTAGCCAGTTGTTTTTAATATGATGATGGACACTATGAGCATAATGTATTCTCTTCCTGATGCTTTTTGCTCTAATGCTGGATTGAAATACTGCTCTGAGAAGGGATGGGCAGACAAAGGTGGTACATTTTTGTAGTCTGAAGGAGCTCTGTGGAGACTACTTTTAATCCAGGAAAATGTTTTTACATAATTAGAGAGGCAGCCTTACAAGTACTCTGAAGATCTTAAATAACTACAGAAGGTTTTTATATACACAGCCATAGCCTACCTTGAGCTATAAGGTCTGCAGAGAAGTCTTGTGACTTTTTACCCTACTGCCACATTGTGCTGCTTTATGGGGAAGCTTTGGTAAGAAAGAGGAATTTAAACAATAGGCTTCCCATCAGTGCCTTTCTGCCCCAGCTTCCCTCCTTACAGCAGCATGTTCTCCTGGCTAGGAAAGCTGCTCAGAAATTGCAAGTTAGTTCATCTTCACATTAACAGAAGTCTTAACAAGATGACACACAATTGCTGCACACCAAAATTTAGAGAACAGCTCCTGAATCTCATTTAGCCTATTTTTGGTGACAGGCTCTTCCAAACTGTAGTGGCCTCATTATTTCTGTACCTTTCCCATGCACTGTTGGGATTCCCAAGGGAAGGCCACATATGCTTATATGATCATCTCAGTATTAGGGTGTTGATGATGCAGAAGTTTACTCTCGCAAAATCAGAGCAGTATTAATACATTGTAGAATTACACTGAGATGTGTGGGAATAAAAATGAGAAAACTATGTGCTTATAGGAAGAAGCTTGTAAAAGTGTATTGCAACTCTTATTTTGTGCAAAAAAAAATGGCATGCAAAGTACTCAAAGCACAACTGTGGGGGTATTTGTAAGTCATTTTTGACTTCTGCCAATTACATTGCAAGGTAGTCTCCGTTGTGCAGCTAATGTCTCATCTTGAACAAAAGTTTGTTGGCTAGGGGAAACAGCAAAATCCTGTAAACATATAATGCATCTGCAATGAATCCCAAATTAGAGGAGTTTAAGTGCTGATATTAAAAAAAAACCAAACCAAAAACAAACAAATGAAAAACAAAACAAAAAAACCCCCAAAAACCAACAAACCAGAACCAAAACAGAACCAGACAATTTGGAAGCAAAATTCCAATTCCATTTGATTTCACCTCGCATTTGAAAACAGCAAATGGATAAGTATGGAGACTAAACACTAGACATCAAAATTAAAAGGGAGAATAAACCCAATAAGATAGAATCAAAGAAACTTTGGAATCACTTGCTTTTCACCCATCTATGAAGAAGAAAAGCCAGCAGATCAATCTCTGGTCTGAGACTGGTGTCACTGGCAGAATTTTGGGGGTTTTGACCATGCTTTGATTTACACAACAGCAGGCTTCCCAGTGAGATAGGGTGTACCTGTCTCAAAGTGGAATAACAACCTTTGATCTTAAATTAAGAGGTCTCATTGAAAGAACTTTAAACTGGATTTGAAGGTGGAAGAGGATAAAACCAGGCTTGATAAATTTGGGGCTACCACACAGATGTTTGAGGGATGTTGTTCTAGACAGGTCCTTCAGTGTGCCATCACAGTGGAGGCTAGGGATGGAGATCCGTGTGGCAGCAAAGACAGAAGGGTATTGATATGTTAGAAACCACAGAAGTGCCTCAAACAGGTTGTGTAGGAATTAGGGCTTCTTCCCTGCAGAGGGCATTTGGATCAGCAGCCCAACTGGAGCGCATCTACACCAATACACACAGGATGGGCAACAAACAGGAGCTGGAAGGCACTGCACAGCAGAAAAACTATGACAACTGCCATCATGGAAGCATGGTAGATGAATTCTTGACAGATTGAGACCGACTGTTCAGAAAGGCCAAGTGCCAGATCCTGCACTTGAGTCACAGAGACCCCATGCAGTGCTACCAGCTGAAGGAAGAGTGGTTGGAAAGATGCCCATTGGGAAAAGAGCTGGGGGTGCTGTTTGACAGCAGCTGAACATGAGCCAGTGTGTGCCCAGGTGGCCAAGAAGGCCAATGGCACCTGGCCTGTGTCAGCAATAGTGTGGCCATCAGGAGCAGGGCAGGGATTGTCCCCCTGTTCTCAGCAGTGGTGAGGCCGTATCTTGAATCCTGTGATCAGTTTTGGGCTCCTCACTACAAAAAAGGCTTTGAGGTTCTGGAGTGGGTCCAGAGAAGGGAACTGAAGCCGGTGAAGGTCTGGAGAACAAATATGATCAGGAGCAGCTGAGGGATCTGAGGGTCTTTAGAGAAAAAGAGGCTCAGGAGGGTCCTTATTGCTCTCTACAACTACCGGAGAGGAGGCTGTAGCCATGTGGGAGCCAGCCTCTCATCTCAAGTAACAAGTGATAGGACAAGAGAAAATGGCCTTAAGTTGAGCCAGGGGAGGCTTGGATACTGGGAAAAGTTTCTTCACTGGCAGCATTGTCAAATACTGGAACAGGCTGTCCAGTGAAATGCTTGTCACCATCCCTGGAGGTATTTAAAAGAGGTATAGATGTGACACTTGGGGTGACAGCTCAGAGGAGGACTTGGCAGTGTTAGGTTAGCAACTGGACTTGATGATTTTTAAGGTCTTTTCAAACCTGAACAATTCTGTGACTCTAATTTGTGATTCTGTGACTTTAGCCTTCTATTCCTATGGAATTACACAAAAGAGAAATACCTCTTTTAAACTAAGTCCTTAAAACAAAGATACTGCTGAACTGGTCTGAAGCAGTACACACTGGCACTGATTTACCTGGGCAATTACCAAAATTACTGAAAACTTTCACACTTTTAGGTCTTGGAATAAAATCCTACTTCACATCTCTGCCAGTATGTGTCTGGCATATTTTTGTCCTGTGCCTAGCTGTGTCTGGCTGTCACTAACAGCTTTGTTTATTAGGCACTTAAGTATTCCACAAATAATTTTAAAAAAGAGAGGTATAATAGCTAGTTACTTTCCATATTAGTAATGTGTTAGATCTGCTACAGCAAAATGCAAAGTTTACTTAACAGAAAGAACTGTATGACTATAAATTTTAAACACTTACTTCCTTCACAAACCACTGGCAAAAGGCTGGGCCAATCCACTCTCTTGCATGAATCCCACAGTCTATCCAGACAGCTTTCTTGTAGGGCCGTGATCTTTTACCTAACTTGAAGTGGGAATATTCACAAAACACCAAGAGTGAAACACTTGAGTGAAAACACAATAATGAGAAAATAATAGAATATGAGAGAGGCTAAACCATTTTGAATTTCCTCTTATAAGGGAACACAAATTTACTGTTTTAAAAGGTATGGCCAAGATAATGTAAGGCAGGTATGACATGATAATGAGGCTGACTTATGAAAAAAAACTGTAGCAGAAGTGAGATCTGTAAGTTCCTCTTTATGAGGAATGATTATTACTTGGAGCAGGGTGAGGAACAATGACACTACATGAATTGCATGATAGTGAATCAAATTTTCAGAACTCTTCAATAGAAGATGAAAAGAAAATACACTGAAAGTAAGATTTTTTGCATCTTGCTGACACACTCTAATTTGTGGTCCCCATAATGTGAGTTGAGAACACACAGCCCTGAAATTTTGTCAGTAGGTAAAGAAGCAGCATTTGTGGCTGAGAAGGGCTCCACAGTCCTCTGGGATCCCTCTCCAGCATAACTGCTCTCCTAGCTGTCTATAAACAAAAAGCTTTCCAATCCCCTTAAATCCAAATCCTGGTAATTGAATTTGTTCTGTTATCTTTCTCCATGCATATCCAATCCAAGTAAATAGGATTTGGCTATTAATTTTCCAGTCTTTTTCCCAGTTTTCATTAAAGGTGACATTCAGAGAGATACTTAGATTTTAGCAACTCATCCTTAGGAAACACTGTTAAGCTGTGTCTCTGGTGTATATGCTGTAACATAAATAAAAGTATCTGTCCCTGATTCCAGATTTTAGTCTTATTAATGACTGTTTAATCTTTACCTTGAGTACATATAGTGGTCTCCCTTCATAGGATTTTCCAACAGAGAACATCTGAACAAGATCTGAATAAGTTCTATTCAGATAATGCATCCAGTCCTCAATCTGCAAACACAAAAATAAGATCATTGCTTCAATCTTTCCATTTCATGGGGAGAAACTGCAATACATTTATTTGGCTCAGCTCTCTGTCCTCTCTCTATTTTTTCATTTTCCTATAGTTTTTATTTTTGTCTTGTTTGTTTTTTGTTTTCACACTTTAACCACACTTTTATTTGGCACTCATAGGTCTGTAGCCAGAGGCTGGATGCAGCCTTCACATGGGATTTTTTTTTTCCATTTCATTGTTGGGTATTACTGGAATACATAAGCTCTTCATAGAAAATATGGGGATGTGGCTAATCCACCATTGCCACTAAATATTAATGGCATGAAGAAAGGAGGTCTATATTTCTTCCTGCCAGAACACATTGGCAAACAGATTTCCATGCAGGACTCAGTGCTACCTGCAGTATTTGTTTAGTGGGTACCAGATCTTGTGATGCAGTGCTCTCCATGCTCAGCCTAGTGACTTTGTTTAGGGGCAGACTGAAACTGTGTGGGTGAGCACACTAAAATCAACAGGAATTATTTACCCAGCCATCATCCAGGATAGTATTCTTCATAAATGAGTTTTTATCTAAGTGTTTTTATGTATTTGTACCTCCTGTGCAAATGCTTAAGCATTTACTTGTATTGCTTAATTAAATGACTTAGTGTGATCATTAACTCATTGAAATATCTTATTCAACCAGAGTAAAAGACCTACTTTAAAAACAGAACTCAGATGCTCTGAAAGACAGTTACAAGTAAAGATAAGCCTTGAATACAAATAGTAAATAGATTTTTTTTTCCAAGGAAGTGCCTATTTTTGAAGAAGAAACAGAGCATTCTTGATGATGGACAGGTAATCAGAACTTGTAGGGAGAATGAAACCTTAGCCTTACTAAACATAACATTGTAGTAGATAAGAGGCACAATATGAATTGTAATTCACCTCTTCCAGGGAGTGGTACACTTCATAGTTATACCCAGGGAGGGACCTTCGACTCCTATGGGACCTCCCTGCAGTTTGGTTTTCTATTGCTTGCTGTAGGTCTGATATGAGAATCCTAAAAAAAGATAGTGGTATTATTGAAAAACTAGAAGAACACACAAGCTAAATCAGAACAACAATCACGTTTAGAAGGAATATAGCAGAAGTTAAACCATCCTGACTTTACTTCATCTGTTACATTTTGACAATAGAGTGCTTCAGGCTCACTTGAATAAAAGCTGCCAAATAAATACTCCAGCTGCTTTGAAATGTAACAGTGCCTTCAAAAACACAATAAGCTTGTTAAAAGACTGAACCAGAATGATGTAAATAATGTAGCCAATGTGAAGAAGCGCCCACTTTCATTTATTTATGAATGGGGTAACATTTACTATCTTCTTTTATAATCCAATTATACTATGTGATCATGGATCTTCAAAAACTGATTTCAAACCACTTCAAAAATCTTTGTAAGCTTAGGAAAACATGGACACACTTTCTCTTGGGTGTGTCATGGAACATTACATATATCTACAAGTTGTAGAGGCAAAAAAAAATTAAAAACTTGGTAACATTATCATTCTGTCTGAAACAAGAAAAAACAGCAAGCAAAAAATCTGAAGTGGGCTTTGTTGTTTACATTATTTACTTTGCTGTAGTTGTTTGCCAGTTTTGTTAAAATAACTCAGGAAAAATATGAAAAATGCTAAGTGAAATTTAACATAAAAAGTGAGAATTTCTTCGCATTAGGACTAAAATGCAGGAAGAGTTGTGTAAGCTGAAACTTTTCTGTTTTATGGCAAAAATAAAAAATTACACAAATACAAAATTATAATATAGAAAACATCTAAAAATAATTATAATGAAGAAGCTGAAGCATGCATCCATCCCATCAGAGAGTAGCAGAAGCTGGGAATACTGTCACAGATATCTGTAACAACATTACTGTAAAACTGAGTCATCCTTGTATGCGCTCTTCTCCTAAAGCATGGCAATGTGTAATCACCATGCCAGTAATTCACCATTCCCATAAAAAGACAATCACATTCAACCTTTTACATTTTTATAGGCATTAGCTTCTGTGATTGGAAAAAGATGGAAAGAAATGGCATTTACTCTGCTCCTAACTCAGCTGTGCAGCAGATGCCTCAAAGGTAATAGGTCTATCTGCACAGAGAATCAAAGTAAAGGTTATTCCCATCTTCCAATGTATGAGTGAAGTAGTTGTATAATTAGGAATTTCATTGTTCTACATCAGCAATATTAAGCAAACTAAAGGATTATAGTCTTGACTAGCAAGGTGCTGTGTATGCTATAAGACCAGTACTGTAAAGCTAATTAAAGGAGTGATTTTATTCAAGCCATTAGGGCATCTAATAGTTAAAAAAAATGCTGGACTGCTTCTCAGAATTCTGATTAGTGTAAGCACCTACCAGAATCACGCTCATTCTATTAACTTATGCATCTGTACTCTAAATGAGATTTAATAATTTTTCTTTACTTTTAAATGACTATGTACTGTGTATGCTTATAACAAAGGCTCTTAAGTCCCTCAGGTCTGAGTGCAAGTGGCTTCTTTACCAAAAAAACTTACAACTGAGGCATCTTGGTGCAGAGGGTTTATCTGATGCCTGGCTTGTTTTCATGGCCATCTTGTCAGGAAGCCAAACCCTAAGAGAGATAAGCCTGTTTTACAGGCAAGGGCTGGTCATAATTAGGGATGTTGAAATGCTTCCTGATTTTGTAAATGTGTCATAATTCAGGTAAGCATCACTGCATCAAGCTGAAATTTTGCCTGGAGTTTAGCTCAGACTTTTCCAGTTCCAAAAGGGATGTAGATATTTGACTCCATTGAGTGTGTGGGGAAAAATATAATAATAAAAAAAAAAGTGAAAATCAGCTATGTGAAAAGGAGCTGTACAAAATCTTGGCTGTGGAGCTGCACTTCAGCTCAGGGCTGTGGTCCCCACCCCAGCTGTGCTGTGGGCATGGCTGTGCTTGGGCAGCCTGCTCGTGCTGCTCCCTGACCGCGGCTGTTATTGCTCTCGTGGTGAATCCTCCTGGCTTTTGTGGAGTTACAGATCTCAGGAGGCTTTTCAGGACAAGCACATGCTTTGCAGGGTTTTGTTCCTAATGGCTGGGGACCATCCAAAACAGGCAGTGAGGAGAATAAGAGGGAGAGCAAAGGACAAGTCTGGACCGGGTAAAATGCGGCTCAGCTTCCTTCCAAGTGCACATAACTTGTGTGCCAAAAGTCAGAGAGATTTTCTCTGTGGAAGATTAATCCAGCGTTTGCAGCATGTTTTTTGAGGTAAACTACAGAGACCTCTTGCTCTGGCAGATTTTGTGCTTGCATATTGCTTTGCAACCCAAGCAGAAGTCTTCAAGTACAGTGTTTATAACACATATAAAATGTCCTTCTGTCATTTCATTGAAGGTGATTACTGTGAGCAGGAACAGCAGCAGACATGAATACAACTGCTGGGTTACAGTAATTAGGGAACATTTTTTTATAAGCACAGGAAAACAATTAGAAAAAGCCCCATCTCAGTTTGAAACATAAACAAAACCAAAGCAGTGCTGAACCCACATGAAAGTCACTCGGAACTGCAGCTATGGAGCTTGTGTACTTAATTTCCTTATGTTTGTTTCTGTATTTTTAGAACAACTAGTTAAGAAGAGAGCATTGTTATAATAAAAATGGAATTGTGATGAGTACTATACATACGTATACATAAATACATCTACATTATGATTTACAGCGTCCTTTTATCACTGAGAAAGAAGTATAAATAACCTAATGTAGGTGTTAATTCTCAAATGTTTGACAACTCATGAGCTGATTATTCAGATGCTTAGGCATGACATTGAGAAGGCTTTAAAACAAGATCATTACTCTTGTCCAGTACATCATATGGATAAATATGAAAGGATAAGTATACTCCAAAATTACCTTGCATTTTTTTAAAGAGCATTATAAATAATATGTGAAACTAAATGTACTGCATTTGTTCTGTATGACTTGCATTGGTCACTAGGAATGGAGAATAATAAAAGTAGTTCCTGTATAATTGATGCAGAAGTTTCGCCTCTGCATTTGCAGCTCACTTGTAAATAAACCTTGCTTGTGCTAAATAAAGAAAGAGGCAGAGCAGGCTGCAGAATTAGTAATTACCAACCCTCTCTTAACAGATGTGATTTCACATATATTGAAAACACTTCAGCTTGACTCCAAAGGAGGACATTTAATTAAAGCTGCTGCCTGTGGGAGATTTGCTGCTCTGCCATTAAAGCGGTTGTTTTCTGGGCAATGCCGAGCCGTCTGCTAGCCTAATTGCTGTGATGTGGAAGGTATTTTCAAGCACTCTTGGCTGTGGTAGGTGCAGACCTGCCCCAGGGCCAGCTCTCAGGAGTGAGGCAGGGAAGAGGAGCGTGGGCTTACGTGTACGGGATGTTTGCTTGCTGGAGGAAGGGCAGCAGGCTCCGCGTCGCGTTCTGCGGGACTCGCACGTCAGCAACGGCGCCTTCGACCATGTGGAAGGGGCTGCTGGGCTGCCACAAGTCCACCTGTAGTGCAGGAACCAACCTGTAATTCACATGCATTCAGTGTAGGTGGGGAAGCCCAGGAGAGGCCGTGCTTGAAGGTAGGGCCAACCCTCTAGGCATGGTAGAGACAGCAGAGCTGCATCGGCTGGTCCAGCCCGACACCTGTGCTAACGGAGCAGATTTTGAGGGTGATTGTGTCCAGCTTACCACAACTCTCCTGGGAGATTTGCCAGTGGGAACAGAAAACAGTCTTCAGAATATGCCTCCTCAAACAGATCAAAATGAAAGCTACTTCCAGCTTCATGCACCTCCTCAGACTACTATACATTCCCAACTCCTGTGCAGTCCATGAGTCTTTTTTTATTTTGCAAGGCATTTTCTGTGTTCACTAAAGCAACAAAAGATGCTAAAGAGATATAAAAAGCATAGCACATACCAGTGTTGTTTGGAAAATATACTCCAGCTTTATTCTTGATAATAAGCTGATCAGAGGTCAATAGCAGGCCAGTAAGACAAGGAATGCACAATAATTTTATACTAAATGTCAAAATAACAGGACTAAGATAATCAAATTATTACAGTCTTGTAAAAAATGATAGCTACTGAACCACTATTGTTATTGCACTATCTGTATCTGCACATATGTAAGGGATTTTTCTTGTCCATTTTTACTTCCTTTTGTTGCCAAATCTGAAATACACTTGAAAATTTTAGGGCATGAATTTTCAAGAAAGCAAGAAAATTTGCAAATCCCTTTTTCAAAGGGATTTGAAACCCAGTGTTCTGCACCCTGTAATAAGATGCTGTACTAGCACATACTCCTTAACAGAGGTGAGCACAGTTCCTCCTCAGCCAGGGTGAGGACAGTGGGAAGAACACAAGTCAACAAAACTCTTTCCAGAGCTTCTGGATATTCATAGAAGATTAAAAATGTGAGTTTCAGCAACAATCTCTGTATCAACATGACAGAGAGGCATGCCAAGATCCACAGGCCTCAAAAATACATTTGTGAGCCGAATACAGGGAAGGAAACTGATACTGACTCCATGTCCACACATTTCTTAAAGAGAATCTAAAAAGGATTAATGCTTGATAAATATATTTTGGTCTTTTGTCTTGTCTTTTCTGTTTTGTTGCAATCAGCTGTGCCAGGCTGCACTAATGAACCTGTTGATACAACTTATGAGTGTGCACTGATTTCCAGGTATCTTAAAAGATTTTTATAGTTTATACTTTAAATTCTTTTATGCCATAGAAGATATTTGAAAATATCAAATGTATTTACCTGGTCTTGCTATGGACCTCATTTGCAAGAGGAGTACAGTCTTGCAACAGGGAGATTTCAGGGGGACAGGTTTAGTTCTCACCATTTCTCAAATGGCCCTGAGTAAGAGTATCCTAAGAGGGCATCTGATGCTGAAACTGGTGCTACCTCTTCAAGCAATGGTGACCTCAGCTCAGTTAATCCAATTAAATGCCTGCTACTTTGGAAGGAGCAGAACTGAAACACAGGGCCAGCCTCTTCTTGTTCTTGCCAAAACCACTCTTTGTTCCATGCTGCCACAATACGGTCTCTGGATCCAAGTCACACTGGTGGCTGGGTGCAGCATCTTTTGAAGTCTAACACAGGACTGGCCAAGTCCACGAGGCTTGTGAAGCTGACAGCAGCTATGACAGATGGTCAGTAGAAGCCAAAGTCATGAATTAAATGGTGCTAAATGCTGCTTACAAATAAAGATCATCTCACTGCACTAACACCCTATGTTTGTTAGTTTATCTGGCTTTCATATTTTGATAAATTATAGGCACCCAGTGAAATTCCCCCCTATTTCAACATGAGTAATTTCACACATGGTTAATATGTGTGTTTGACTTTTACAAAGAGCATGCCATATGTGTATTTGACTTTTAAGATTTATTCCTAAAAAATATACATCAGAAAGGGTAATTTTGTTGCTCCATAACAGTCTATCAATCAGCTCAGCTTGAGCCATCTTCATAAAAATGAAAACAAATTGTTACATACAAGCTAAGAACAACTGAAGTGTCTCCTAGCCAACTGCAATTTCTAAGCACATGAAACTGGAATAGAAAAAAACCCCAACAAATCACAATTGATTTACACCTGAAATATGTCTTTGTTCTTGACAGTTACACAGGATTTATTATGGTGAAACTCTCCATCACCATGGAGGTGATAAACCAACCAATATTCACACTGATAATTATAACATCACCAGACTTTTTAAGAGCTGAGGTATTCTAATGGTCCCTCACATTACTGCCTGTAAGTGAATATCAAAAGCAGAAGCGATCTTCTTTTAACTAATGAAATCTGTGGCATATTGCCACTATCCTCCTTCGGTGAAAATGCAATATTTCACTCCTGGCATTGTCCTGGAAGTGAGACAAAAAAATTCCCATATTTAGAGTGCAAGTCATTCTGCTTCATCTCAGTTCCCTGTTTGGGTAATTTGGCTCCTTTGACTCCCACTTCTCATCCTTTCCAATGTAAACAAAGCAGCCAGTGATTCTCTGGGAGATGTTACCTGCGCCGTCCAGAATACCACTCCAGTCACTGGCTGGATTTTGCCTTACAAAGCATTTAACAAGGAACAAGTCTCTCCAGCAGACATTTTATATATATTGCAGCTGTCAGCTTGTCCTTGGTGTGACAAGCACATAAAAACTGACAAACAGAAGATGGATTTCTGAGCAGGCATATTTGGACTGAGCAAGTGCAACTATCTTCTACTCACTGTCATCTTCAGGGCACTTCATCATTGCATCTCCCATGGATACTGAGGGTCTTATTGAAGTCATCACTCTTATTTCAACATCATGTCTCTCACAAATATGCCTTGGATTTCCATGCTGGGCTCTGCTGGTTAGTGAGTGGCAGTGAAATAAATTGCTGTCCTATCCTCTGCCCTCTCTGTGATGGGGTATTGTTACCCCCACACACTACACATGAGCCTTTATACAGTATTATAGAGCACCAGTCAGTGCCAAAAGATTTCTATTTGCTGTATGGCTGGTAGGATTTGCTAGGTGGAATGAAGATTCTCCAGCTACACAAAAAACTGATGCAGAAATCCTACAAAACTCCCTGAGTGTACAGCCAAATACTGGACCCTCAAAATTCACCTGGTATCTTGAGGCTAGAGGAAAAGCAATATGCTTTAGAGCATGTCTGCAAACCTAAATATTCTCATTTCCTTCGCAGAACACTCTTATTTTGCACATCTTTTCTTGTCTTTCAAGCAGCATGTTGCCTTTAAAAGGTGTTGGGATATTTAAAGCCTCTGGATAATAAGCAGAGCCCAGGCAAGATTTTTCAGCAAGTTCAGAGTTGGGACCAGGAGACCAATTACTCAGCACCTGCCACTCAAGTGTGACCATGAGTACACATGAGTGTTCTCAGGGACAGTGGTGGCTCCCCAGATGCACAGAGAATGCTCTTTCCCAGCATCTCACTGCAGGCATGAGCATCCTCTTGCTTTCTATGAGGAAAAAAAATTTATGCAAGAGCACACAGGCAGGTCTCTTTTTCCAAAGTATTTAAACACATTATTGCTTTATTTAACAAAGACTCTGTTAGAGATTATTAACTTTAACTACATAAAAAGTAGTATTTTTTAACTGCCTTTTCTTTTTTCAACCTCCCTTGTCCCATTTAAGTCTCTGTGGTTCAATATTTTCTTAGGAAAGCCAGGTTTCTTTGTAGGCAGTTTCTCTTTAGACTGAGGTGTTAAAGACAGCTCAAATAAATCTATCAGCTCTTACCTGGACACCTTCCAAGGTATAGCAACCCTGAACTCATTACTCATGTCTCTAGGTTTTGGTCAGTACAGTAAGGAAAAGGCAGCACAAAGCAAAAGGACAAATATTTTAAATAGATTTGGGCGCTTAACTAATAGGATTCAGAATTTCTTCCAAAGTTAAAATTATGCAAATAATTTTCCAAGAATACAAACACTTTCACAAATGGTGTACTGAAAACTCTTTTGCTCTGCCAAGACAGAAAACAGAACAGGAAGATTTTTATTCACTAGTTCAGTTTTCCTCCAGCTCATTCCATGCCCATGGAAAGGAAGCCTGGGAAGGAAAGAGTCTCACTGTTTTTCCCCACAAACACTCTCATGGCTGCATAAATCCTACAATCTTTTTTTTTTTAATTCAAGTCTCCGAAATAAATCACCAGCTTCTTTAACCCATGGGTTAAAGCACCTAAACCCATGGGGTTTAGGCTGGTCTTTGAAATTAAAGCCATTTTCTTGGGCAGTAGCCTCCAGTTGTCCCTCACTACCTTTTCATAAGCAGATGTTTAATTTCTTCTTCCATTTAGCCTGAAAGGAAGATGCTTAGTGCTCTCCTCAGGTCTGCAATTATGTATCAATCAAACAGATGATTGATGTTTGTCATGAAAATAACTACAATAACTTTGCCATAACTTACATTTAGTATCTGGAGAAAATAGTTTCGGATTTATCTGTGCTATTCCCCATGAGACAGTAATTTTGTTATATGTTTTATTACCTAGCAATTCCAGTTTTTATTCCTACTGAGTTGTGTCCAGCAATACATCTGCTAAAGATGGCCTTGTCCTTGACATCACCATGAATGGATTTCTTTGAGAAATGCTGTCAACTGTAAAGTTCAGAATATAATTATTTTTATGGTGCTGTCAGTTGAAATGGCTTGGCATTTCTGAGTCTCTTGTAAAAAGGAACATGCAGTCAACAATGAAAACAGGGGTGCTCTTTGCTCATGGGCTCTTTCAGGAAATGTGGGTTTCCCATTTATATCCATGTACTCATGTATAGGTGTATAAAAACCCTAAGCAGTCATGAAAGCCATTAGTTATGTTTTCAATTATAAATCTAATTGTAGAAGGCAGAGAGTAGAAGTAGGAACTGCTTTAGTCTTACTGGTATCATCAGAGGCCTGACCACTTGAGTTTTTATCCCATAATACATGGGAAACACAGCCACTTACATGTATGCACACAAACACCCCTC